GGCGGGGGGGTGCTGCTGGTGCCCATGTGGCTCACCTCCTTTGCTGTGGAAGCAGTGGAATGGCAGCCAGGGAGTCTCCTCCTGGGTGCTGGGATTGTTTCACCTCCTCTGCCCTGGGAGTGGTGGAGCCATGCTTCTTTTTAAAAGTCTGACTGGACTTTTATTGTATTGAAAGCCAGTTTTGTTTGTTTGCTATAATACCACCCAAAACTCTTTCTTAAAAGTTAAAGGTATCGCAAATAAAATTCTAAATTGGAGACAGAAGGTACAGGCAAATGACATGATAGGTGCATAAAGGAATCAGAGTATATTTCCTGACTGCCACAGGTCATTGTGTATGAAGGACAATAACCTAATACTATTTCTACTTTTGGATCAAGCTGACCTATGCTAGGCCCCGGATACTCAGTGATACTCCGTGAATCTATTTTTAACCAGCCCCCCAAGCTATTTGAAGTCATTGATTCTATGGGACAATCCTGTATCCCATCTAAAATAGTTGGTGGACTCATGCAAATAATTTTCAAATCTATCCAGATCACCTAAAACTTCTGATTAGTGAATCAGCAACTTGCATAACAGTTAACCTAAGGCAAATAGGAGAAAAGACGTTTCAAATATAGAAAAAAATGCTAATAAGAAAAATGACAGCAATTACTGTGATTACAAAGTCATCAATGATAGCAGTGGATGTTTACTTCAAATTAAAAAGATAAATTACACTACAGTATCCATTTCTGCCAACAAGGAAGTCATGGGTCTCTTAATTTTTTTCTGTGTCTTACTCTACATTGAATCTCCTACTTATTATTTCCCAGGTCAAAAGTTTATGTGCAATTAGGCCTTAAAAAGATAGATCAATTTTTCCGTTGACATTTGTAATCATAAAAGGTTAATTCCCTCACTGCTCATTCTAGTTGGTCCTTTTGGAATAAAGATGACATGCAGAGCATACCCGTCTCTTCTCCAGGCCTGCTCTTTAGACCTTGCTTCTTCTCCATCCACTCATCATCTGTCTGCTTGGGCAAAGTGCTGGGCTGGATGCCTGGGCTATGTGGAAGGAGACTCAGAAGCTGTGCCCAAGGGAATGAAATCACTTGGAAGGCAGTTCATGCACGCAAGATTTAGAAAGGATCTACTCCTTGATCTTGTCATCTGTTAGATTTTGTATATTAGGACTCATTTTCAGAAATACTTCTATCATACTTCTGGCTCTAGATTAAAGCAGGTTAGCTGGATCTGTTTGTAAAAAGTAATAGCAAATGATGCAAGTATTAAATTCCTGGTTCCACTGCCAATAAGAGGTAAGTCACTATTGCTCAAGGCCTCGACTTCTACAATGATAACACTGAAATAACTGTGCTAGGATGACTAATAGAAGACTCAATAGGGAGCAGGTAAAAGGGGTATAACCAATTTTTTATGATACTCACAAGTATACTGAAATTGTCAGACTGCTAGACTAACAATCCTAGAGAATAATAAATGAGATTATAAAGAGGTATTACGCAGTATACGTTATCCTCTTTCTGCCAACAGAGAAATTCCAAATCATCCCAAGTCACCCTAGAACATTCCTGTTTAACTTTTTATTTCAGAATAATTTTAGATTTACAAAAAGTTGGAAAATTCACAGAGTGCTCCCAAATGCCATTCTCCCAATTTCTGAAGATAACGCCTTATATAACCAAAATTATTAAGATAATAAAATTTACATTTATATAATATAAATAATTGGAAGCCTTATTCATATTTGGCAAATTGTCTCACTAATGTCTTTTTTTCAGTTCAGGATCCAATCCAGGCTACCATCTTAATCTAGTTATGGTGTCTCCATGACCCTCTGTGATAGTTGTTCAGTTTATCTTTTCCTTTAGTGATCTTGACACATTTGAAGAGTTCAGGCCAGTTATGTGTATAATGTACTTCTACTGGATTTGTCTGATGTTTTCTCATGATCAGACTGGGGTGGTACATTCTTGGCAAGAACTTCAGAAGTGATCTTGGGGCCATCAGCAGGTACGGGCAGATAGCATGTCTCATAAGCAGTGAGGTTAACTTCTTGGCTTATTTAAGGTGGTATCTTCTAGGTTTTTCTGTGCTTATTAATTAACAAGTATCATGTAATGAGTGTTTTAATTTAGGATATTTAAGATAGAGAGCACCCCTTCAATAATTAAGTGAGATACAAGATGGAAGTAAAATTGTTTTAATTAAAGGTCGTGGAGGGTACACAGCACACTTAGAGGACACACTCCAGGATGTCAGAAAGTACAGAGAGGAAGAGAGAGGGACCCATGGGCCAACACCTCTTTGGATCCAGGGCATTATCCAACAGGTTTCAAATGAGGAATTTTAATTGGTAGGTTTAAAGAAAGCAGGATACAAACAGTCATGCTATGACTGAGAGGTGGTTACTGTGGCATATATGGTTCATGTGGAAGGTGAGGGTCAGTAAAGTCATTTAGGTAGACTATATCTAGCTGTCCCATAGGAAAATAGTCATCAGGAAGAAGTCGTATAAAGCAGATCTCTAGATTGACCACATTGAGGAACTGAGTGGAGGTGTAGAACTAGAAACTATGTCAAGGGTGACTGAGCCCTGTTTCTGGTATGACAAGGCCCAACTTGTATTCAAAATAAATGCTGAGGCAACATAAAATGATAATAATTCACTACAGGGGGATACATTAAAAGTATGAAAATTTGGTTTCTCATTATATATCATGCGTTTGCCCCTAATTTTAGTTCCTGTTGACAATTCTTCCCCAAATATTACTGTGGTATTTGCTTAATGATGATTTCCTATTTCAATCATTCATTGTCTGTTTGGTGATCAGAGTTCTGCTAAGTTAGACCAGAGAAAGAAATTCTAGTGTGATATTGCACAGTAGTGTGATTACAGAAAACAATAACAATATTACAGAAAATAATAACATATCATACAATTTTAAAAGCTACAAGAAAGGCATATGCATGCTTTCATTATAAAGAAATGATTAATGTTTGAGGAAATAGATACGTTTAACTCAATGTAAACAGCACACAATATATACATGTATATACATGTATTGATGCATCATATGGTACTCCATTAACATCTAGAATTTTAAAAAACATGTAGAATTTTGTTCTTATGTATCAATTAAAATTAAACTTAAAATTAAATATAAATAAGTAAGAATTCTACTGTAGGAAAGAGCTGTCCCTTCTACATTTATTTGCTTATTCATTTTATAGCTTAAGCAAGTATACAGACTTTATAGCTTAAGCAAGTATACAGAAGCAAGTATATGCTTCTTTTATTCAGCAAATTGTAGTCTTTTGGTAACCAGGTCCATATCTAAGCAGCGGTAATAAATCTGCTACTTTCTACTTATTAATTATCTTCTGAGCTCTGAGACCATTTCTCTCAGATAAATTACTAAAAACTCCATAATTTAAGACCTTTTGCTATTTTTTCTTTGAAATTTGTGCTAGTTTACCTGTTAAACAGAAATTTCTCTCCTAGTTCTATTCAAGCACCAAAGACTACTTTTCTTCCTCATCACTCTAGGAATTCTTTTCAAGAAGAAAAAACCTTTAATTCAAAGAAAATGACCTCAGATTCATTTAATAGAACAAAACCAATAATATCAGAAGGGAAATAACAAAAAACTACTAATTGTCTATAGTCTTTGTTACTGCTCTTTTCTGGTAAAAACGAACCTGAGAATACTTTGAAACACCCAGTTTCTACTCTGCAGAAAGTCTTTGTTTTTTCATTCCACTCGCAGCCAAGCATAACTGGCAAAGAGAATTTGCCTACATGTGGAGGTATGTAAGAATTAGATATAATGGTTAATTGGGAATCTCTAATACCCATAACTGAGAAGAAATAAACATGAGCCACACCTTTCTTTAGCAATGTTAACCATGAACATAATATTTGAATAAATACACCAACTACATTAATATTAACACATGAAAAGGAGAGATAGAGAGAACAGTAGATATTACTTACCTCAAAAGCAATTGTTGAAAGTGGTATGTGATCCTATAAGAAATGTTGATAAATACAATGTATTTTGCTTTTTACTTAGGACACTAATTCTCAATTAAGAAAATGAAATTGTGAAAATAGAGCTAGGGATAGGCCTCAGGGTAGTATTGCCCATCAGAGTTAGGACAGAAGGGAAAAGAAGCCAAGATTTTACTTAGGATTAGTCCTTTTAAATCATGCTTTTGTTATGGTTCTTTTAAAAATTAAAGAAATAGATTGAACATAGACTATAACAGATGAGAGATAATTTACCACTAGAAGACATTATGACCTGCCAAGGTTTGGCCAATGTTTGAGGTGATATAACTTGTAAAAATAAAGGCAGAATAAACAGTACTTTACTTTTTTTTTTTTTTTTTTTTTTTTTGGTACCAGCGATCGAACTCGGGTCCTTGAGCTTGCACAGCAGGCGGCAAAACCACTGAGCTAAATCCCCGGCCCCAGTACTTTACTTATTAATCAATGTCTAATCACACTATTTCAGAAACTAAGAATGTTTTCTATCTCAACCCAGAAAATAAAAACTATTCCTCCCCCAAAAAGAAGAAAAACGATATATTTACCAATTCATCTGAGTGAAACAATCAAGCCCAAGTCTCCTTATCTAAATATTAGGGATCAAATCCAGATTGGAGAAAATAAGAGGGCACCATGGAGAGGCAGAAGGCAGGACCTACAGGGAAAGTGAAAGACAGGAGGAAGGAGATTCCAGCCCAAGGACCTTCACAGTCCCCAGCAGGGCTCCACTGCCTCATTTTGGTCCATGTGTCTCTAGAGACCCCACATACGCAAGATCACCTTTCCAAGGCTTTCTGACTTCCACCCATCTATGGACAGCAAGGACACTGTAGTATGTACATCCCTGTGACACTCAACCAATCGCTACTTAATTTTCTTACACAGTATTTGCCATTAGTTATAGAATAGCCTTAGAAACTTTATTTTCCACTTATATGTAGTTTCATATACATCTCAAAATGAAGTTTTAGATCAGTGATAAAACAAAATTCAGTCCGAACCTTAAATTATCTATTAACTTTAGTTTGGCAGGCTCCTCCATCTCTTGCCATCCCCAAAGTTTAATTTTGCTCTAACCAATGCCCATCACAGCACATCGTAAAGGTTATTATAGATACACTGCATCCTTTCCTGTAGTCAGACTTTAAGCCACAGTGACAGAAACAGTCTCACTTGCTGAGCCATCCTCACCTCTTTCTGCCCCAGCTTCCCACCATGATCATGAGAAGGAAGAATATTAAGAGAAAAGATGGCAAGTGCAGGCAGTGCTAAGGGGTGATTTGTAGAGAACACTTGGATCCTGTAACTCTAGCAGCCTTTCCCAAAGCCATCCTAAGTAAATAAAAATTTTTAAAAGAAAAACTGTACTTATTTTGCCAATACAGCTTCAAATCCCTTAACACTCCACTCCCACCTCTCCCCTAGGCTTCCAGAATGTCATACTCTTAAACCCTTTCCTATGGAAACCCTGAGCCCCCATTCTTGGCAAGAGCAGCTGCACCAACCTTTTCCGATGCATGCTGTGGCATTGGAATTAAAAGGCAGGCTGTTTGTTTCAGTGCCCCAGGACTTGGAAGGAAGACTGGTGGGTGAGAAGCTCTTCCCTGCCCTTGGCTACCAGCTGGCATTTGGAAGAAGTTCAATTTCTCGGGTTGTGTAATGGCAGGTACTATTCATATGGTTATGCATGCGCCACTCTCATTTGACATAGCCTGGGCATATGGTTGATGACTGCCAGCAAGTGACAGACGATAGTTCCAGAGCACTAGAAGGAAACTGCTTACATTAGATAGTGCCTTTTGTTAGAGGGCTACTAACTTCAAGCAAGGGATTTGCTTGAAGTAATGCTATCAGAACAACAATCTGTGTCCTGCTTCAGAACTGCATGTTGGACAAGATTCCTGGATCAAGTATATTGGAAAAGCCCTAGAGCAACATCTGAAAGTACAGGATGATGCAATGAAGGAAAAGTCTGGCTTCCCCTGGCTCTCAGCAGGTTCACCTCTAGCCCCAAATCCTCCCCAAGTCACTGCCTCTCAACAGCTTCCAGGTCACTGAAAGCAAGGCTGCCATTTTGTACTATTTCCTGCATAAGCAAATAGGGCTTGAACTGGGCACTAAATGCTTCGATAGTGAGGCTATTCCTGATAGACAAATGTGACACACCAGCGCCACAACTGAGCAAATTTGGAGGAACCGAGAAGGTGGACACAGAAAGAGCCAACTGTTTGAGCTAGATCTCCACAGAAGAGCATGCAGAGGAAAAAGGCTAAACTCCTAGTGTCTTTTGAACATGAAGAAATGCTTACTTACATGCATTTTATAAGACAATGAATGATTTTTTTAAATCATATACCATAACAGAAATAGAGCAGGACAAAAGAAACTAGCTTTAACCAGAATTATCTTTAACAAGCGAATGATATTTATGAGTTACCTATATAATCAAATGTTTTATTTTTAAGGGGAAAGGAGTAGTCATAGAAGTGGAATCCAGTCAAGCATCCTATGAATGAATGAGTCCCACTGTGACATACTCAAAAATACACGGAGGATGAGCCACATATTATCATAATAACTGTGTATGATGAAATCCTAATGCAAAGCAAGTGAATCGCTTCTTGGCCTTTTGGCTAAGATCAAGTGTAGAAAGGAAGGTGGTAGCACCCTAGTTCACCTGTGTGGTATTGTCATGTGTGTGGTATTTACTTTCAGAGGAGATGGGCCATATAAACTGATAGAGCTATTCAGATCTCCACTATCCTCTATTCAGTGCTCAAGTCAGAATGAAAACAACCCCTATTACCACCACACTCTGTTGCTGTTCTGAAAAAAAAAAGTAGCAAGTTGGTGAAGAACACTGGAGTATTGTGCATTAATGCCCATCCCTGGCTAGGCTCTTAGCAAGGCCAATGCCCTGGAGTGTCTTATTCTCATCTAATGAGAAAGACTTTAGAAAATTTAAATTAGTTTAGTTTGGAATACAATTTTGTTCTATGTTTTTCAAGTATGCTTTTATAATTATTTGAGCCATTATGGGTTTGTTAGGTTTTAATGTAGCCTAAAAGTGAAATTGCTTTCAGAGAAAAACTGAATCAACAGAACTAGAAGCAGGAAAGCGCGAATGTGAATGAAGACAGTGGGAAAAGGATAAGGAGAACAAAGAGAAAATGTCTATACAAAGAAAGTCAGAATAGTTAAGCCGTGTTCTAGAGAACTGTGAGAAACTATGGTGTGGCTCTACCCACTTGTCTGAACACGTTAGCACTAACACTCAACATTCAAAGCCCTGGTAGTTTATGGTTACCATTTACTGAAAAGTCCAGGACACAGCATCTTGCAACTGAGCTTTCTGCAATGATCAGACTACGGTATTCTCTGCTGTCCAATCAGGGAGCCATTAATCATACATGGCTCTTCAGCATTTAAAAACCATTACTGACTGGCACAACTGAAAAACTGAATTTTTTTCCTTGGCACTGGGGATTGAACCCAGGGCCTTCACACTGAGCTACGTATTCAGCCTTTTAAAAAAAATGTTTTTTAAATTTTGAAACAGTGCCTCATTTAGTAGCTAAGGCTGGACTTAAACTTGTGATCCTCCTGACCAGAAGGCTGGAAATTACAGGCATGGGGCACCACACCCAACTTTAAATTTTATTAAATTTTAATTAATCTAAAATTAAATACCCAAATGTGGTTGGTGACTACTGGAATGGAAAGCACAGGGCTACAAGACAAAACTCCAATTAATTTCATAGGCTTATTTCAAAGCATCATCAATCAAACTACTCATTTACATTTAGTAGATTACGCATCCGGATTTAAATAAGATCTTATACCAGACCCAGCCCTTTTGCCTGCCCCTTCTCTTGAGTTTCACTTTTACAATGATCTGAGTCATTGCTCATTGTCTGCCTGCTAAATCAGAAACTCTACCAGGATAGCGCTGCGACCGCCTTATCCTCTGCTCAATCTCAGCCTGGAACAGGGCCTCACACCACACACGCTCTTTTAACACTTGTGTGAGCAGTCAAAAACCAAAGAAGCAAGTCAAAAAGGAAGCTTCTGTCTTTGGAAGAGATCAGGCATAAAAAGATGCTCCCAAGCACTTGAGTCTCTTTTTAAAAACAATTCTAAGTTATACTGTTCAACCGTGTTCCTGGTAGCTAGCCTTAATCCCCCCCGCTTTAATTTCCTTCTACCCATCCTCCACATGAAAGTAAATAGCAAGATTTACATATTCCATATTACTTTTTTATTTAAAAAACTAATTTCTTTATTTCCTTAGATAATTTCTAAATCATTATGTATTCTAAATTTTATGCTTCCTTAAAAAAAACACTTCGAATTCATATAGCCTTAAGCTGAAATTCCATAAACTAAACACAGATAATCACTGTGTTAGGTTAGAAACCATCTATAATTATCTTTCTGACTGTTCTGCTTATAAAGGATGTACACATAAAAACACATAAATTCATAAGCAAAATATGTATATATACACATGCATACACACATGCACATGTATCTATATGCATTTATTGCTACAGACCCACACACTATTGGGCTTTTGATGACCAACTCTTTTGTTACACATTCTATCTATATATCTAGTTCTACACTTAAAGCCATATAAATATGGTGGTCAGAAAGAACTGGATTAGAATTCTGGCTTCTCTTCTACTTTCTAGACATACGTGTCTAAGAAAGTTACTTAAGATTCTCTGGCCCTCAGTTTCCCTATCTGAACATAACACTCAACTCCATGAGGTTTGTTGAGAAGATTAGATTGAATACTGTCCATGAAAGCAACCAAAGAGTACTTGGTTCAAAGCAGGTGCTCTTTGTTTACTGAATAGATAACTTATTTCATCTGTTTCTTGGAACTCCTTTCAGAATTAGACAAGAATTCATTATATTCTGATTTAAAGTGATCAAGGACTAATGATTAAAAAGCAGATTTAAGAGCATACCAATGATCAGAGATTGAACAAACAAAAGAATGAGATAAATCACAGTCTTAAGTAAGTGGAAGAACTCACTCAAAAAAGAAAGACATTTTTGGTGTTTGATCAATTGAAAGGCCTCTTTCTATTTGGAAATGGCTCAAATCAGACTATCACTATAGAATCACAGTAGATTATACATTCCATAACTGTAGGTAATAAATGATCTATTTATCTTTAAAGTTTTCAAGATCACAGGAGCATTTATTTTCAGCCTTAAAACCTCACATTTGCTCAATATGATTTCTAGTGTCTCTGCCTATTTTAGAGCTTCTGCATCTTGCAAGATGGCATATATAAATAGAACTGAGGTAAACGACAGCTTTAAGAATTTGTATAAAGAACCCAGTGGTACGCAGCAACGCAGTGCTCCTTTAAAAAGTTAACCTCATAAATTGTCGCTAGATTCTCTAGTAGGGAGGTATATAAAGGGTCAAGATCCTAATAAACAATGTCAACAGGAAGGAAGGGAAGGTGGTGACACACATCCATACCTCAGCTTCCTGCAAGGTCCCATGGTTTAGGCACACCATGTCAGGACAGGTAATGGGAGCCCCACATCCTTCTCGGATTGCCAGCTGCATATACTGCTTCAGGCACTAGAAATTGAGAAGAAAAAAGACAGACAATTACCCACCCCATCATCACAGCACAAAATTTACATAACAGAGCCACCACTGCCTCTTCCTTAATTGGATGTTCTGGGGTTCTTGTACGTAGGAAATGTAAGTTATCACAAGTACGAAGACTAAGAGCTATCACTTTGGAAAGAATGCAGAGACTGGCAATTAATTATGCATGACTTCATCCTAAGAGTTTATTCAACTCATATTCCCATTTGCTCACACCATTTATCCACCACAGACTGAGAAAGAAGAAACTCTTTTTACAGTCATGGTAGAGGCCTTGTTTGAATATTTTAACTCATATGACTTCCTAATTTCATTTTTAAGGAGCAGTCCTCTCCCTCAAAGTTTGCCCAAAAGTAAAATGGAATTCTGTGAAACTGGCACTGAACTACCCCACCAGAATAAACATAAGATTAAGGCGGTGACTTATCCAGGGACATGTTAAAAGCTAAAGATAGTGTCACACTTGGGACAGTCAAGTGCCTTCCTGCTGACCAGGACAACGAAGGCAATTTAGGAGAATGAGACCTCCAAAAACAGAGGCTTTGGTCAATGACATGTTGAAGAGGTTTGAGTAAAAAGAAGGCTCTGATCACTGGGAAAAAACAGAAATTGAGTTTTAAAAAAGGAACCCAAGGAGAGAAAGAAGGGAACACCAAGCAAAACCTTGGTCTACTCACTGGTTGCTGTGCGGTCCAGACCTTGGGCAGTGAGTGGGACATGAGTCTGGCTAAGGATGTAAGACAAGGAATGCTAGAGTCAAGGAGGCCTCTGACTCTTCCTCTTGCCCACAAATCCAACCTCACATGCCCACAGGAAGTTAACAGACACACAGTAGACCCCTGTAGCTCCAAGTTCCACATCTGCAGACAGAACCAAGCTCTGATTGAGAACATTGGGAAAAAAACGCTGTGTTGCTCCTGACATGGATTATACAATTAGGCCTATGACGGCTGGGTCTGTACCAAACATGTATAGCCTTTTTTCTTGTCATTATTCCTTAAAAACATTATAACAGCTAGTGATATAACATTTTAAATTTTATTAGGTATAAAAAGAAGAGTTGATTTCAAGCACACAAGAGGATGTGTGTAGGTTATATGCAAATACTATCACATTTTATAGAAAGTACTTGAGCATCAACAGATTTTGGTATCTGTGGGGAGTCCTGGAATCAATCCCTACAGATACTGAGGGACCATTCTAGTTCCAGCAAATAAAACTAAGAAACCCATAAATTGGCTCCTCAATTTCTACTAATTTGCTCATCATTAGTGAGCCCTTTTCTACATGACAAAAAGATGTCAAGCTCAAATGTTTAAGGAGTACACTACTCCAAAAGCTAGTCAATGAAGCAATGACTTCTACAGAGGAATGATTATTTATACTGAGTTTAGATTTTTAAATGTACACATTCATGTATCAACTTACACTAAAAATATTGCCAAGTACCACTGCATAAATCATTATATAAGTCTATGGCCAGAATATTTATGACAATTGTGAAACTAAAGTCTTTCACGGACCTTTTTTTAAATTCATTTTCCCCATTTGAAAAGAAAACTAATCTTCATTACTTAAAAACGTGTATTTATCTGATTAAAATGACTACTATATGTGCTGACAAATCAATGACCAAGGTCAACCATTTAAACCATATTTGTATCTCTTCAAGGAGTTAACAGTTCCCTTCTCCGCATTTTTTTTCTATCTCAACTAAAACTAGAAAATAACCTAAATATCCAACACTTAAATTTACTGAATTCATGCAATGGGATGCTGCAGAATCATGAAAAACATTTTCAAATGTTATTTATATGCATGAAGAAATGCTTGTGATTTGGTATAATCTGGAGGATAAAGGAAACCTGGGAGCAGGGGGCCCTCTTAAGTCGCTGTTCTGCTGTGACCAACCTCAATACAGAAAGTAGATTTCTGACATTCACTTTCTTGTCTAAGAGAAAAGTAAACAATTACTTGCTCCAAGATTACTGAACCAAATACTGTATGGTCTTAATATCAGGACCAGTGGTGTGCAGAAGAGAGTCGCAGGAAGGCCATGGGGGGAAGAACTTCAGGGGGCAGGCAAAAACCCCAAGGGAACAATAAAGTGGCTCACACAAGGGAGAGTCACCAAGGGACAAAGAAGTCACTGGTGTGCTTCCGAGGACCTCAGCCTTCCATGAGTCACACCACTTCCAGTATTATTGCCTTCATCCCACAATGGGTGCCGTGTGATGACACTGAGGTAATCAGACTCTAAAAAGAAATGTCTTCAGGCTTCTGAGGATAACAAAGTGAATGGCACAATGAACTACAGAACCTAGTAACTGGGTCTAGACCTAGCTCTGCTCTGCCAGGGGTGACAGTGGGAAAATGACTCTGCCTAGAACCCAGACTTATTTCTCTCAACTTTGAAAATGGAGACAATGATATCTGTTACGGTTATTTCATAGGGTTCAAAACACACGCACCTTCGCAAGCACAAGGTCCTGAGTTCAATCCCCGGTACCAAAAAAACCGAAAAAAACACATGCACCTGCACACGCTTGTACACACACACACCTCTGAAATTTTATTTTTAAAACTCCCTTATACCGGTACTGCAAAAAAAAAAAAAAAAAAGGCCCTTATAAATTTATAAATTGCAGACCATTAGGTCATGTGTTTACTCTCTTTATTTGGACTTTAAGAGTGTACAGTCATTTCAATCAAATAAATGCAAGTTTGTAAAGTAATACAACAGTGATATTTGTTTTATTAATCCAAGTGAATATAATTTTTCTATTAAAAACTTTGTGGGGAACTGCTACAGCTTTGGCCTTCTGAGATAATCCCTTCATTGCTCCCTGCAGAGACCAGTTAAGGATGAAGAAGTTGTGTAGGCAGAGCAGATATCTTTAACAGAAGATTCCATGTGGTTCTAGCCAAGATTCTCCTCAGAACTTATTGTTAAATATGAACCAGAGACACTGTGTGAGTTTCTCTAGGCAAAAAAAAAAAAAAAATCATTTAGACTTACACAGCAAATTTGGAAGTTGAAATATAAGTTTCCCCAAGAGCTTACAATGGAGGTTCCATTTGCTAATGCAATGTTCTTGGGTACACGAGCAAATCAAGATACATCAACCTAATGAATTTTAAGGCTTCCCACAAGTACTCTCTTAGCTGCAAATAATACTGTGTGACCTATGATTTCAGAAGAGAAACTGGAGCGCTCTACACATTGACTACAGGCTTTAGATACATATACCCTCTGTTCTTATTCTACAAAACACTTGGTGAAAATAAAGATTTGCAAGTGCATGTTGCTAAGTAATCTTAAAGCACAGGCATTTGACATGCCATTACTGTGTACATGCATTTCAGCAAAGGGTGACAACAGTCCTAGCTATTGCTTTGTAGTGAATTCTTAATTTTTAAGTACCTTGAGTTCATTACATGGCTTCCATTTGCTTTCACCAAAGAACTTAACCTCCAAATCTCCCTCTCTTCTTCAATACCTCTAGCTAATAAAGCACAAAAGGACTGAAAACATTCACATGAACTCTTGCGTGTTTTATACAAACTAAACATAGGTAAGCTGTTAACAATTCTGGAGGAAGAAAACTGGCCTCAAGCTTATTAATTATAGAGAAGCATAGAAAAAATCACATTTCAGTATTTCATTACATTTCATTAAGTAATGTTACACAGAAACCTAAATATGCAAGTTTCTCAACAGCTAACCAATTCTAAGAAGAATGTTTTGAGTAGAACATTTCAAAAACCCAGATGACCCATGAAGGAAGGAACAATTTTTATTTTGAATAGTCAATATTGTATTTAATTTTATTTAATTAGTTTGGTAAAACACAGAAGTGCTTTTAAGGCCATAAAGGCCATGTATAATAACAAGGATTATTTGTCAAAGTTACTTGGCAACCCTCAAGGTTTCAGATGGGATCTAACCAAGGATTTAACCACCTTACACAACTAGTACAGGAAATGCTTTATATTGCCTCTTCCAACTCAGAGCCCATGAATTATATCAATGGAATTTTTCAAGAAAGGGATTTTTCCTGGACCACTTTTCAAGGGGGCATTCCTCCTAAGGTATTCTCATCTGTTATGGTAGACATGGAAAAAAGGGTCCCCATATTAGGACAAAGCACCTATGTACCCCACCCAAGAACAAGCCATGGGAGGGGCACTATATTATTTTTAAAATTCACTATACTGTTCCTTATTCTCTGTCACTAAACTGTGCCTCCCTTAAGGTTTTTTCCTAAGACAAAAAACATTCCAAGGAATAACGAATAGAACTGGATGCCAACAATTGCCTCAAATGTTGGGTAAGTTAGCCTCTCTAGCTACAATACTCTTGTTTATAAAGTGGGACACCACCTGTTTTGCCTACTCTCAGGGAAATATTGAGCCCCTATTAGAGCGGAAATATGAAAATATCTGAAAAGTTAAAAAGGTCTGCAAATATAAAGTATAATCAGAGAATGGAATAGATGTTTCTAAATGACAGATAAGCAGACATGTGGAAGTATAAGTCCCCAAACAGATGTGACCTGTGGAGATCAGCCTCACAAGGGTAGGTAGGGGAGGAAAGAAGAAAACGGGTAGTGCTGAGGGGAAGGAGATAAGAAGTGCCAATAGTTCAAAGTTTAAATTGCCTCCCACCCCCAGGGTCTTGTCTGCTTCTGAATGCAGGTTTGGGGATGCTCAGGTCCAAGAACTAGCAGCCCTCCTGGCTTGAAGGTGAGTTAGTGAACTAACTTAGGGTGTCTCATCCCTAACTCAACCATTGCGGGTAGGAGGTGGCTAACAGCCAAAACCTAGACAGATTCTGAGTGTGCTCTTTCTCACTCTTGGTACAACATGTGAATTAAAATGGATAATCCATAAAATGCAGAGGGAAATTTCTCTGCCTCCATACATAATTTCCTCACAAGATCTCCAGGGCGTTCTAAATAGTATCT